AGAAGAATGGCAAAACACCCGAACAAGCACTGTGTTCATAAAGGAGGAAATCCAAATAGCAACAAGCATATGCAGAGATGCCCAATCTCCTTAGTAATTGGGAGGAAAACAAGTTAAAACTCCATGAGATACCTTCATGCGCAAGACTGACAAATGCTAAGAAGCCTGCCAATCCATGTGCTGTGATATGGGGCACCTAGAACTCTCGACTCTGCCGGTGGAGATGGTGCAACCATCGTTAACAACGTGGTGTCACCGGGTACCCGTGAAGCTGCCCCCACTATCCAATCCAGCCATCCTACATGTAAGTTCTCCACGACATGCTTGCAAATGTTCATCGGGAAACACAAGCAGCCTGTTCACAAAGGCACCTTCCAGGAGTTCCAACCTGGAACTGATGCAGAAACCCTAGCACATTCCTCCAGGGGAGAACCAGGCAGCAACGACATAAACCCATGACCACTACCACGAACAGTCTGAGATGGATGGGTCTCACAGACAATGTTGAGCAACAGGAGTCCATTTCCCAGACTCTATTTTCCTAAAGTTAGCCAGAAGACAATACTAAATCATCGTGTTGCGGGACAAATCAAAAGTGAGTAGAACTACAAAGAAAACCAAGGAAGCAATGATCTTAAAAGCCAGGAAAACGGTCATCTCTGGCTGGGAGGTGGAGGGTATGATGGGAGAAGAACAGACGGGGGAGGTTCTGTGGTCCCAGACATATCCACCCGTATGTTTGCACTCACTCTATCATGAATTTAAACACTGAGGGAATGTTTTATACATACTTTTGTAAGCATGCTTTATAAAAATCCAAAACATATTAAAATAGAGAAAATTGGGGCCCCTAGGTGGCTCAGTCAGTTAAGCGCCTGCCTTCAGCTCAGGTCATGATCCCAGGATCCTGGGATTGAGCCCATGCTGGGCTCTCTGCTCAGCAGGGAGTCTGCTTCTCCCTCTGCCTGCTGCTCCCCATGCTTGTGCTCTCTCTCTCTATATATAAATAAATAAAATGAATAAAATAAAATAAAATAAAATGAAATAAAATAAACTGGTGACCTGGACTCCTTTAACCTGTGACCAACTCTGAGCTGCATGCAGCCACACCTGCTATAGCCCTCCTAGACAGAGCGACCCACTGTTTGGGTCCCGCCCAGAGGCATCTCTGACCAGATGCCCGGGATCAGTTGTGTTCTTCTGGCAGGGGAGGACAGGACGGGGAAGGAAGGGCAGAGCGACATCCCCTGGGAGGTGTTTCATGGACTTGCGACCGCCTCTCCTTGCTGTGACCCTGACCATGGGAACCTGGCCCTTTATCCTTCTTTCATCTTGTACTGCTTGCTGGAGCTTTCACTGGGCGAACCAGCATTCCATGGAAGTAGTTTTCGGTTTGTAGATTTCTGCACATTTATAATCACTTGTGCCTTGGATTATTTTCCCAGGGACGTGGTGCTGTCCATGCCCACGTTTCCTACTTTGGAGGCAATTCCCTCTCCTGCTGAGCTGTTTGCAATTGCTCCCAAGGTAGCAGCCCCATTTAAGGGCTCAGCCCCTCACTCAACAGACACTTAGGCACCTCGGGTCTATGTTCAGGCCTGGAGACAGGACCTCTGCCTTATGTACAGACAGCATGGTCCAGTTCGTTAAGCAAACATGGCAATCATTAACAAATCAAAACAGGGAAATTAGGTTCTTCAGAAACAAACAAAAGTCCCAATAGGAAATACAGTTTATGCCTACTTTGGGTCTCTCATTTGGGTCTGCCTCAGCCATATTCTTTCCTAATTCCATCAGAGGCATGTTATATCTTTCCTGGAAGGTTTTCATCCCAGAAGCTCCCTTTAGCTCTTGGTCCTCCATCCACATGCTCATCGACGATGCCCACATTGCTTCTTTGACTGCTTGTGTTAATTCTAGACACCAAAATGTGCTGGTGTCACCACCCCAGGAAAGTTTTGACTTTGTCTTAAAACTGTTTCCTGCTTTGAGCTGTTTTCTTTTTTCTATCAAATTGGGAAAGAAAGCTCTAGAATATTGCATCAGAAAATTGCTATACAAAAATCTATCATGTGAGCTTTTGCCACGTCTGAGTTTCTAGTAGTAGGAAAGAGACAGAGAGACAGTAGCCTGACGGTCTCAAAAGAAGAAAGGAATTCTTGCTGCTTTTTATCCCTCAACCTTCCTAGTCACCGACGGGCCTCCAACCCCAGGCCCTACAAGGGGCAGTGGGACCCAACCCCTGGCATGCCAGCCTCTGATACCAACAAAGGGCACGGCTGCTGGGGCCCATGGCCTCCTGCCCTGCCCACACTGTACCTCTGTTGGACATGCCTTCCTTCCCCATCCTCTCTTCCTAAGCATTATAATTCTCCACAGCAAATGTAATTTAGCTCTAGGTCTGTGCCAGGTACTATTCCAAGTGCTTTACACCCATGAACTCATGTAAGGGACTCTTAATGGTGCTTGGTACATTGTGAGTGACTCACATGGGACTTTTCAATGGCTGTGTCATCCATGGACAAATCCTGTGCTCCTGCTGAGTAATAAGTAAGTCCAAATTGAAGTGAATTAAAACAAAAGCAGAATTCTCCCATAGCAACCCAAATCCTTGGCTTCAGGAAGACACCAGAGCAGAGTGGTAAGGAGCTTGGGCTCTGAGGGCAGTTGCTCCTGGTTTCAGCCCTGCTCTGCCCTCACTGGCTTGGCCCCCTGGGATCTCCTCCTTTGTAAAGTAGGGGTGCTAGAGGCATTCCTCTCAGAGGGTCTCCTCTGCTCAGACAGCCGGTTACTGATTGGCACCAGGTAAGTTTCCATCCTTAATCGCTCTTGTCCTTGCTTGAGAGCAAAGATGCAAGCGAATGCTAAGTAAAAAAGGAAAAGCAGGCAGTGCTCTTGGTAAAAACCAGAAAATCAGAGTTAGAAGTAAATAGATGTTAAATTGTCCATCCTAGGCTCACCTCCACTGGAGAGTTTAAGGGCTGACTCTATGTGTGTCTGCGTGTGGGTCTATATACAGACACTCATGATTCATTATGGGTCTAACATTCATAAGCTAGACATGGGTTCATTTCTGCTCCTTCCAGAGTTAGAAAATAATTCATAAAGGTGGGTCCTAAATTGCTCTGTAATTTCAAATTAGAATTCCCGACTCACTTTCTAAGTCCCCTCTGCCACATATAGCAACTGGGTCATCAGATAATTACAAGAGCATAAAGCAGAACAGTGCAAATCCTGTTTCCTCAAACAGCTCTGGGCTCTTGAATCTCATTCCTGGGTCATTAAGGAGGCTCCGTGTCATTGCTTTCAATCAGCGCCTGTCATGGCCCAATCCTGTCCATTCAAGACAAAATACAAACCCCTCCCAAGAAGCACCCCATTGCTGCTTCTTTCCTCAGCCGTCTCAGGTTAGCCTGAAGAAGCCAGGCTGATTGGATGAGCTGAGCTCATCACTCTTCTGGCCTCAGATAAAAGCAAGACGAACCTGAACTCTTGCCTCCTTGGGGTCAAGCGAGAACCAGTCTCTCTGATGGCCATCAAGAGGGGAGAGAATGAGCCAACCCTAATCTACCTTGGAGATGGTGCAGGGAGTGGGCTGAAACACAAAGGTTAGAGAGGCAGTGGGGGTAATGCGAAGGCATCTGCCTAGCAAGGTAAAAACTGCTTTTTGGGGCTACACCACACAGTGACCAGCAAAGGAAGAACGTGGACGGCAGCTTTGATCGGCATCATTCGCAGAAACGATGTGATGGGGAGTAGCTTCTGAGGAAAAGTGTAACCCAGCACAAGATGGGATGTTGGGCCAGTGGCAAAGCTGGGCTCCTCACCCCGAGGAAGGCGAGCTGCCCGCCAGCAGGTAGAGCTAAGGGCCGTGGTCCTCCAGTGATTTCCGAGATTGCCTTTGTACAGGAACCAGGGGAAGCGGTAAACCTCCTTATCACATCTTACCCCACCGCCGATGCACTGGGAGTGGGGAGCAGTGGGGTTAAGAGGTTTGGCAGGACTTGTGGGAAGGAGAGAGAAGAGAGATTTTATCCCCATCACGATGCTCCTGGTAGAGCTGTCATTCAAAGTCATAGTCTGTAGGAATAAATAACGGGGTAGCAGGAAATGGAAGGCAGGCCAAATGCCCTTGAGGGGTTCCCAGAGGGGGAACCTCCAGCAGCCAGGTGCTGCTTGGTGAGCCAGGTCCTTCCGACTGGGGATTATGAGGGTGCCAGGCAGGTTTACCCAAAGAGGAGGAGAGGAGGGAGGACAAGAGGCACAGAGGGAAGCATGTAGGGATAGAGGGAGGAAGAAGGGGAGGGAGACCATCTAAGAAGGCCTTTGTCAAGCAGCACCCAGCCTGCCTCTGAGCCTCCATCTGGAGTCCCTGGGATGGCAGAGCTTGTCCTGCTGTCCACACCTTCCTCATTCCCCAAGACTTCCCTGGTCCAACTGCATCTTCCCGGAATATTTCAACTCTCCTCCCACTGCCCCCATCACCCCTGTCATGGATCCTTTTTTACCATGAAGAGCCACCACCTACTTGCCATCTCAGACATGTCCCAGGGATCTCCAAACCATGTCCCATCTCCAGCCATCTGCTATGCATTCCTCCACCAGCTCTTGGTTGACCCGGGAGGTCAGCTTTTCCCTTTGTAGGACATACATCAGCCTCTGGCCAGGCTCTAAGATCTGCTAACTGTGCCCAGACTCTCTCAGCAGCTCAGCTCCTGCGTGGTTTCTGGGGCACAGAGGACGAGGACCTGCACCCACATCCCCCTGCTGGATCTTGCCACCTCGAGATCCTGGTGCCTTGTTTGTTCTAGAACAGCATATTCCTGCACCTGCCCTTCCTCTAGAAGGCTCCCCCGGGGACTCTGGCCTCGGCCTTGTTGAGGACACTCCTTAACCCTTGTTACCCTCTCTGACTACATCACCTCCTATTTGAGATCTGAATGGTTCTCAAGGGAAGATAATAATGTGGACTGGCAAAGGTCAGCAGAGCAGAAACTTACCGGTAAATGCCCAAGGAGAGGCGTGATACTGTCAGAAACATAGAGGATGCTGCCATCCGTTGTCACTGCGATGATGAAGCCATCCAGTGCCTGCAGAGAATCCAACAGTGGAAGATTCCTTAGTGATGCCTTTGTGGAGGAGAATGTCACCGAAGCAAAGGATCCCCTGTTATGACATTGACTTTGTTTTGGAGTTCTTAGAATATTTCCATGAATAACCTCACTACCCTTCTCAGCCTTGCACACAGGATGGTTTCATATGCAGAGTTCGTCTAGCCCAGGCAAAGGGCTTGCAAAAGCACTAAAGGGCTCCCTGGAAAATTGGACCTCTTGGTATCCTTAAACTCGATTTAGCCATGGAAATTACTTAGGTAATTTAATGATAAGCATCCTGTTGGGCTGAATCAGAAACCTCACATTTACCATTAAAAAGATGTCAGTGATATTCGATGGTTCTTAGCCCCTGACCTCCAATAGCGCTTTGAGTTCAATTTACCAGAAGATATTGGACCTAGCAGGTGCATTAACAACCGTCGGTCAGGGTTCACCTCTGCCTACATTCACTGCCACAGGAGGAAGGCCTCCCAATGGAACTGTTTGTAAAGAACATTCACATTACTTCCTGTGTCTGCTGTATGTGAGCTCGCTGCTCTAGGTGCTTCTGATAGAAAAGGAGGTAGGCTGTGAACGTTTCCTCACGGACACTTGTGCTATTTTGTTTTTAGATTCCTTATGACGCTTTCATAAGACACATCTGAGAGTAGATTTCAAAAATTCAGACTGTGTAATCAGAGAAAGATAATTATCATATGATCTCTCTGATATGAGGAATTTGAGAGGCAGGGTGGGGGTTCTAGGGGGAAGGGAGGGAAAAATAAAACAAGATGGGACTGGGGAGGAAGACAAATCACAAGAGACTCTTAATATCAGGAAACAAACTGAGGGTTCCTGGGGGCTGGAGAGGGAGGGACAGGGTGGCTGTGTTATGGACATTGGGGAGGGTATATGCTACGGTGAGTGCTGTGAAGTGTGTAGGACTGATGTACCCCTGGGGCAAATAATACATTATATGTTAATAAAAATAATTTTAAAAATCCTTAAAAATTAAAATTAAAATAAAAAAATTCAGACTGTGTCATTCAGCACTGAATGGGGTCATCCTGGCAACAGGCTATACAGAGGCACAGAATAGATGGAAAAGATTAAAACAAGCCCATCTCACTGGAAAATGAGTCTCTGAGGGAGTAATATGCTCAGGCGGACAGTTACTGTAAACCTATCACTTTGTACTGACTACATCTTTGAAATAGGATCTTCCTCAAATATGAGAATTTTTCCGCTTTAAGAGAAAAAAAAAGTCACACCGAAATATGTGCTTAGAAAGTTCTGGAAACATTTTGTATGCACTTAGCTAGTTCCTCCCAGGGTGTTACTGGAAGTCTGCCAAGCCAAAAGGGCACTGATTCGTTCAGTTTGGAGGGTGCAACTAGGTGCATTGCAACAGGAAGCGGAAATGGTCCACTAACCATGAAGGGCACCGTGCCAGAACGGGAGAAAGCTCTCTTCATCAGGAAAATGAACACTAGGGTCATTTATTATTTTACACTTACATATTGCAGGATTTAAGACTGAAAAATATATTAAAGCGTGTTCCTTAAGTGGACCTCATCCTTTTGGGTTCCGTCAGTAGTTTTCAACTGGGGCAGTTTTGCCCCCTCTCCTACCCACCTCTGTTGGGAGACATCTAGGGATGGTAACAGATGTTTTTGGTGGTCACTACTGGGGTGGGTGCTGTTGGCATCCAGTGAGTAGAGGCCAAGCATGCTTTGGAAAGTCCCACAATGCACAGGACACCCCCAAAACAAAGAATGATGAGGTCCGAGGCATCGATAGGGCCAAGGTTAAGAAATCCCCAATAAGATTTATGGGTCACGGTGAACCCAGAGGTACATCTTGGTTCCTTTTGTTTCTTTTCCTAATGGTTTTTTAGTTCTATTTGTGGCACTCCTGGAGGTGAACTTTAAGAGACTGGGGCACTCTTGAGGATGTTGGCTGGACCTTTTTTGAAAATGCAGGGCAGTGTATTGGGAAAAGAGAAGCAGTTCAAATGATCTTCTTGTGCAGCGGGCCCAAGTCCCTCTTGGACTGTAAAGCATGTGGGTGTTAAAAAACTGAAGGTATTTATAGATGGGAGGTAACTTTCATCAGATAATTGGGGTCTCCCATGAAATGCACAAGAGGTGTGCTAAGTCACTGCTTGGAGCACACTTGCCAGGGTTCTAGAAGATCCCATCAGCCCCATCTGAGGGACTCAGCAGACTCACTGCAAAGTCTCAAAGTGAAGGTAACTGCGACAGCAGCTTCAGGGATGCCAAAAATGCCACCATGGCCCCAGTTTTATACCTGCCACACACCAGAAGGAAATAAAAACACCCCTTTCTGCCAATTCCTGATTCCTGATGCTTCCTGTGTTCTCCAGGGACAAGCTCTGGGCTAAGAGAAAAAATGGCTGTAGCTTTTCTTCTGAATATAATTCAGAAGAAATGCTACAAACCTGGTAGTGGCCAGCCAGCAAGAGCTGCCCCTTCGTCTGAGTCAACGTGTTCAGGAGCTTGTAGCCATCCTCTCTAGCGCTAACATGGTGCCTGCCTGGCTGGTCTGCAACCAAGGCACTTTTTCTCTCTCAAACCCCACGACCATGTGCGCATCCTCCCAGAGTCTGGGCTGGGGGCTTTCCGAGAGAAGAGGGAAGGAGGAGGAAGTCACATCAAGAGGGCACCGGTGTCTGATAGCTCTTGCTAGGACTTCTAATACTATGTTGAACAAGAGTGGTGAGAGTGGGCATCCTTGTCGTGTTCCTGATCTCAACGGGAAGGCTGCAAGCTTTTTCCCATTGAGGATGATATTTGCTGTGGGTCTTTCATAGATAGATTTTATGAAGTTCAGGAATGTTCCCTCTATCCCTATACTTTGAAGTGTTTTAATCAGGAACAGATGCTGGATTTTGTCAAACGCTTTTTCTGCATCAATTGAGAGGACCATGTGGTTCTTCTCTCTTCTCTTATTAATTTGTTCTATCACATTGATTGATTTGTGAATGTTGAACCATCCTTGTAGCCCAGGAATGAATCCCACCTGGTCATGGTGGATAATCTTTGGAGAACAGTGTGGAGATTCCTCAAGAAATTAAAAATAGAGCTTCCCTATGACCCTGCAAGTGCACTCCTGGGTATTTACCCCAAAGATACAGATGTAGTGAAAAGAAGGGCCATCTGTACCCCAATGTTTATAGCAGCAATGGCCACGGTCGCCAAACTGTGGAAAGAACCAAGATGCCCTTCAACGGACGAATGGATAAGGAAGATGTGGTCCATATACACTATGGAGTATTATGCCTCCATCAGAAAGGATGAATACCCAACTTTTGTAGCAACATGGACAGGACTGGAAGAGATTATGCTGAGTGAAATAAGTAAAGCAGAGAAAGTCAATTATCATATGGTTTCACTTATTTGTGGAGCATAACAAATAGCATGGAGGACAAGGGGAGTTAGAGAGGAGAAGAGAGTTGAGGGAAATTGGAAGGGGAGGTGAACCATGAGAGACTATGGACTCTGAAAAACAATCTGAGGGTTTTAAAGGGGCGGGGGGTGGGAGGTTGGGGAAACCAGGTGGTGGGTATTGGAGAGGGCACGGATTGCATGGAGCACTAGGTGTGGTGCAAAAACAATGAATACTGTTACGTTGAAAATAAATTCAAAAAATTAAAAAAAAAAAAAAGAGGGCACCGGTGGCTCAGCACCTTGGGGGCTGATGGGTTCTGTCCTGCTTTAAAACAGGAACCTCATGGTTACCAAGGCATGGCATCTGAATTCCTCACAGTCCCTGAAATGGCTCTGGGAAAGGAGAGGTTGTGTGGCTGGAAAGGGACACACACACACACACACGAGTAAGCATTTGCCTAGTGGCAAATGGTGACAATCTCATCCTGTGGGGGCCCCGTGGGGCCCAGGCCATCCAGAAGATACTAGAAGTACTGTTACTCTGGGCCAGGTCTGTGTCTCCTGAAGAGCAACAGGTCAGGACAGAAGCTTAAAACAGAGATAAATCCGAAGTAGTACTGGGTGGGTTTCCCAGGCTCCTCAAAGCAGCAATTTGCCCAGAAGGCTAATCCCAGAAGGATTAATTTCAGACTTAATCCACTCATCGGGCACGATTCCTTCAGATTCGCTTTAAGGAGTCTATACTGGGAGCCAGGGAACGTGCAGAAGGAATATACATACCAATCTAAAATCTTACTTTTCTAGAAATTCTAGTCTCCTGAATCTCAGTCCTGCCTTTCAGCCCAAATATGTATCCATTTTTAACTTTCTAAAAGTCTTGTTTCCTCAGACACTTTTGATATCTTGAAAGTCAGTGGGAGGAAGAAAAAGGAAGGATGTGCTACAGGCTCTTAAAAAGGGGCTGGGTTCTACAGGGTTATGCGTTTTAACTACTGTCCCTAAGAATTAAAAGATAAAACGGTTTATGTAAAGTAGCATAATGATGCATTAATTCAACATTATATTTCACAAGCTGCTCTAAATTTAACATACTTAAAATGCATTGCTTCTGGAGAAAGTTCTGTATTTTCTTTAAATATAGTTCCCATGTAGATTTAAGTATCTTTCATTTTATGCAAATGTTCATTAATGCGCTTATATTTCATAATATTTGGACATCTTCATTCTGGCATTTTCTTACTCCAGTACTTTCTGTTTTCTGCATAGTTAATCTATGTAAATTAAAGTTTACATCAGTCTTATACACGCACCTAAGATGAGATAAAGAAAGAAGCCACTTTCCAAAAACTCTGCCAGGAACCGCTGACATGTAGCCAGCATCTAACTTCCTTTCACTGAGCTCATTTGTCTCGGTTTCCTCTTCAAGGGCCCAGACATGCCACGTCTGGAGCCTTCTTTCCCTCCACTGTCATGTCCATGCACTCCCAGCCTAATCCCCAGCTAAGACCTCAGAGCACCCCGCCACAGAGAGACTCATCCTCATCTCTGCAGAGGGGTTTCAGCCAAATGTAAACACAGGACACTGAAGAAGGCCACTGGCCCAGCTCGGCCGGATTTCCACAAATACGTCCCTGTAGATGGGTGTGGGCACCTAACGTTCTGGCGGAAGAAATGTGAGCATCTTCCTCAGCCCAGAAAGGGCGTGTGCCGGGTGGGAAGGCTCAGGGTCACTTACGATAGACACCCACATGCTGTGTTGATGTAATGTGAGCTCGAGTTAAAAGCCCAACTTTAAAAGAAAACTTTTGTTTTCAAAATGTGTTCTACTAAAGGAAACATATAATCATTGCATTCTAAAGAGGAGACTCTGAGCCACAAAGACAGTGCAGAGATGGGCTTTTTCCTCCCTCTTTCCCCTCCTACCTACCGGCACCCTTGTCCCCCTGGGTCCCCCACTGGTGTCCTCTGGTTGGGAGACCATGAGCAGGTTCACCCTGCTCACACTCACATCCGGTTTTGGGATTCTTGCTCATACTGCCAAACTCAGTAGCCAAAAAGCAAGCAATAGCATGCAGGGCTTTAAGGAGTGTCTGTTTCAAGACCTCTTTTCAGGGTCAAGAACAGTTGTTTGCTTCGGGGACCGGGTCTTATCTGGAACAAGCAGCTACGTTTTGATTTGAGACCACTAATTAAGCTAATTGGAAAGCGCATTTCACCTCCAACATCAGCTGGGTGAATTCTTCATTACTGAGGAATGAAGGTTTCCAGTCCTGCTGAATATCACAGATTTCCGTTTGCGCTGAGACTTCTAAAAAACAAAACAAAACAAAACCATAAATAAATGGTTATGTCAAAGGTATCTTGGAATTAGAATGGACAAACGAAGCACACTTATTTCTATGTAATTTTGTGTAAACCTATGTGTTGTTTAATTAAAGAAGCCAGGATAAGGAAATAGGTTATCCTGATTTCCAAGGACTAGAACTTTGGATGTGATGTGCGTAAAGGCGTCTCTTGATGTTTTCACACCTTTTAATGAGGCTTGAGGAGAAGAGAACTCCACCCTCAGTGTGGCCGTAGTCCCTGCCGGTAGCATGAGCACAGTGCTCTTGAATTCAGCAGTGGGGAGTTACAGTCGCCACCTATCAAGGCAATGGGAACAAAGACTGGGACAGTGGGACATGGTCCTAAGCTACAGCTTCATGGTCAAGGCAAAGCAGAACACTTTAGAGATCTGACATTTTCAAAATTCCAGACACACCTTAGACTTGTAGTGAATGACTTCCCGTGTCTCTGCAGAATGTCATGTATTTTTCAGTATTTCCCGATACTGAAGTACAATGTGTCAGACAAATACATGTTACTTAGTTGCTTTTAAAGCCAGAATTTATTCTTCTCAAACCTTTTCTGGATGGATCTATCCCTTGCTTATTTCTGCAACTACCTTGTACTGAAGATGTTATTCATGTTTGTAAATTCAATAGTCATTGGAATACAGAGGACACCTTAAGTACTCGAGTTCTTTCACATTTTTGAAAGTGTATTTTGTTTTATTACTAAAATGTCTCTGATAAGATTATTACAGATAGCTCAAATGCTGTATCAGGCATATTTGTTTTTCCTTCAATTGATCCTCCATCTTTTTTTTTTTTTTTTTAAGATTTTGTTTATTTATTTGATAGAAAGAGAGAGAGTAGTATTAAAAACTTGGCATCTGGAGGCAGACCACCTTGTATAGATTCCTCACCACACTGGCAGTCTAACTTGGGTGAGTGGCCTAACATCTCTGTGCCTTGGTTGTCTCACTTGTGAAATAATATTAACTCAGGCGAGCAGCTGTGAAGCTCACATGTGTTCCTATACAAGAACCCTTAGAACAATGCCTGCCTGGCTCACAGGGAGCCCGGAATAGATGCTGACCATGGCGTTCCCTGCTCTACTGCGAATGCTCGTGGAGTTCACGTCCACTTGGATTATAACTGAAGTTATTGTTTGTTTTTATTTTTGATTAATCCAAATTTTGGTCTAACCGCTGTATTTCTCCATAAAATCTTTGATGAATTTTCTGCTCTCTTTGGAACGTAAAATCACAGAGGATGAGTGAGATCCACAGGTGATCAGGGTTGCCTTTGAGGGGGCTGTGCACAGTAGGCCTTAGTCTTATAAAAAAGGTGAAGTAGAGATGGACGCTCCTGGTGTTAGGAGGCCGCATTTCTGCTGACTGATTCTTTCCAGGTCCCGATTTGACAATTCTGTAATTCTGCAGCAGACAGAGCCCAGCATAAATGTCACACTGATGAACTTGATCCCAGCTGTCCTATTTAACAGCTGTCCTGCTTCTCAGTGGCACTGACCTAGTTTGAGTAATTTGTGCAAAATATCTTAGTAATCGAACCAACCTGCTATTTCACTTAGCCAAATCATCATTTAGGAAACATAACCATTCTGATTAAATTACTGGGGCAGTCGAATACTGCTGCAACACTTTGTTCCAATCCAGCTTGATTATTCTTCCCTGACTTTTAACAAAAGCAATTAACATATTCTTTACACTCCCCTGGGCAGCTTTGGAAGAAAAAAGGAGGATAGATCATTACTGTCATCTTTTTAATAGGTATATACAATTATTAAAGAATCAATAAAAGAATAGAAAGTATAATGAAACTTTCTAATGTCCTAGCTGTGCCCTCTTCCATGAAATCATCTTGTCTAGGAAAATGTTCTATGAAAGAGAAGCATCACTGTAAGCACAGAAGAATCATAATTATCTCCTCAATAACCTGACATTTCTGACTTTATTATGTTTGGTGTCATGGTTAAGGGGTAAAAAAGAGAATTCTACTCTTCTTGCTCGTTAATATCTACTGAACCCTCTTAACCCCTCTCCAATTTATTTATTTATTTATTTTTGGTACCATCGACAGGCGAGCAGCAGGGTAGGGTGGTCAGTGCTAAGAGGTAAAGGGTTTAAAGGAAAAAGGTAAAAGGGAGAGAGGGTGATTTGAGAAAGACTTAAGTTCAAGGATAGAGTCAAGTGGTAACTTCATATTATGGAATACTATATACCAATGAAAACGAACCAGCCACAACAATGGAAGAACAGATTAACCACATAAACATGGTGTTTATAATCTTATGATTCCATCTGAATAAGGTCCCAATAGCCCAACTCTAGTATTAGAAGTCAAAATAGAGATTACTTCTGGCAAGGGCAGAGGTAATAGGAAGGAAGGGGCATCTACTGGAGAAGCTTGTACTTACCGAGCTGGATGTTGGATTCCTAGCTGTGTTTGCTAATATACAGTGTGATAAATAATTCAATTGTACAGTTATTATTTGTATATTTTCTGTAAGTATTAAAAAGCTTTTAAAAAGAAAGGAATGCTGGGATAATTGAATATCAACATGCAAAAGGATGAATTTCAACTCCTTGTCTTATGCCTTGTACAAAAAATAACTCAAAATGGATCAAATACCTAAATGCTCACCCTATAGCTTATATGCTTGATACTTAATCTACGGCTTAAAACTAAAAAACTCTTAGAAGAAAACATAGGTGATGCAAATATTCATATGTTTAGATTAGACAATGGTTTCTTAGATAAGATACCTAAGATACACATAAACAAGCACTACAAAAAAAGATAATTGGGCTTCAAACTTGGAAACATTTGTGTGTCAAAGGACATTGGTAAAAAAGTGAAAGGCAACCCAGAGACTGGGGGGAAATATTTGCAAATTATATATCTGATAAGGGTCTAGTATCCAGAATATATGAAGAACTCTTAACAACTCAGCAACAAAAAGATAGATAATCCAATTAAACCATGGACAAAGGATTTGAATAGACATTTCTCTAAAGAAGATATGTGAATGGCCAGTAAGTTCAAAACCATAATGAGATAATTGCTTCATACTCCTTAGGAAGGCAATAATAAACACCACACACACACACACACACACACACACACACATATCAGACAATAACAAGCGTTGGTGAGGATGTGGAGAAATTGAAACCCTTATATATGGCTTCTGGGAGTATAAAACTGTCCAGCTGCTACAGAAACCAGTTTGCAGTTCCTCAAAAAGTTGAACTTGAGTTACCACTGGACTGAGCAATTCTAATCCTAGAAATAAGTCCAAGAGAACTGAAAATATATAACCATGCAAAGAACCATACATGAAGCATTATTCATACTGGTTAAAGAGTAGAAACAAACCAAAAGCCATGAACTGATACGTGGCTAAGCAGAATGTGGTATATCCATACAATAGATATTATTGGCCATAATGTGGAGTAAAACACAAGTGCTTGCTAAAATATGAATGCTAAGTGAAAGAAGCCAGAAACCAAGGACCACATACTGGATGGTTCCATTTGTATGAAATGCCTAGACTAGGCAAATCTAGAAGGAGCGAAAGTAGTTGAGTGATTGTCAGGATTTGGAGGGAGGGGAAATGGGCAGTGACCACTTTATGGGATGAGAAAATTAGTATTAACGGTGGCACAGCCTTTTGGATACACTTAAAACCATTGAATTATAAACTTTAAAATGGCAAATTTTATGGCACGTGAATTATCTCTTAATCAAAAAAATGGATTTGAAGTAAGTAAATTCCTGATTTTCAGTGTATTTTTGCCATGGCGTACCTCAGAAGGCCAAAGAGTTCAGGGGCCATGGCAGGGGGGGTTGGAGAAACCAGTCCACTTTGGCAGAAGAATTCATTTGGAAAATGAATTCTTGGGCATTGCTTGTCTTCCGAGCTGAATGAAAAGTGCTTGCTGCAGACATTTTTAATCAAGACACTCCCACGGTTAACGTCACTCCACTTAGGCTGGGTGTTACCTGTGAGGCTGCTTTGGATTCTCTCCTCTGGCTAATAAAGCAATTTGGGAGGGGAGTGTCCTTTCCCAAACCTGCTGGAGGTGGGATATTAAAGAGGGTGGAGTGCCTTTGCAAGAGGAAGCCCGTGACTGATGAGATTGGGCTTTGCTGGAAAGAGAGAGCCAAGCAGAACACCACCTTGATTCAGTCATCACCAAAAAAGGGCAGGAATGGAATAAAAATGGAGAAAAATGTAACCTTTACCATTGTGTTTCTGCAAAAATCCAATGACCTTTTCCAGCACGGTGGTTTTGTCCATTTTCCGCGTATTGCCAGGGAGCATGGAGCTAAGTTCTTTGATGAGAACATTGAACTGGTCCCGACGCTTCTTCTCAGACTTGTTTCGAGAAGCTCTGTAAACACAGAACACACAGGTTACTGGAACATTCCACTCCATAAAGGCTTTATTATGAAATGGAGGTACTTTCCATTGGAGTGTGTTCTGTTGTGATCATCTTATCAGAACCCTTTCAGGGAAAGTAATGTTCGCCACATTTCAGAGTTGGGTAATGGGGACAAAAAAATGTTTTGCCAGACTCTTGGCCACAAAGACAGACAGTGTTAATAAGCAAGTTCTGACTCAGATGCAAAAATCTTACACAGATTAGCTCTGTTGCCAGATGCTGCTTGCTCTGACTTCATGGAGCTTTAAACTTCAGAGAGCAAATGACATGCTGTGTACACGGCTGCAACCCACAGGGTTTTGCTCTGAAAGCTCTTCCCTAGGCTCTAACCATGTCCCCTCCACCCCAGAGCATGCAGCCCTCAGCATCAAGTTACAAGGGTAAGCCAGGTGCCCTGAGTGTCTGGCAGAGAGCTGTGCCACACAGGGCATATGTCCTGGCCTCTGCCCCAGAGCTCATCATCCTGTGGGGAGACAAGGCACATCCCACACGAAAATGACTGCAAAACCGTGCTCGACCTGGGGCCAACGTATGACAGAGAGCGCGTATGGCTGTCAAGCTGCTAAGCAGATGAACCTTTGACAAGATGACATAGAGGAGCCTTATATGCATAATACTTAAGAAGCCATTCTGAAAAGGCTACATACTGCACAGGTTCCAACTATATGACATTCTGGAAAAGGCAAAACTATGGAGACAGTGAAAAGATCAGTGGGCTGGGGATGGATAAATAGGTGGGGTACAGAGGGTTTTTAGGGCAGTGAAATGCCTTGTATGATATGATCATGGTGGACCCACATCATCTTACATTTGGCCAAACTCACACAATATCCAACACCAAGAGTGGGTGCTGATGTCAAGTGTGGACTCTGGGGGGTAGTGATGTGTCAGCGTGGGTTCATCCATTGTATCCACTGGGGGCTATTGGTAATGGGGAGGCTGTCCGTACACAGGGACAGGGGATATATGGGAACTCTCTGTACCTTCTGCTCGGTTTTTCTGTGAACTTACACCTACTCTAAAAAAAAATAAATATTTTAAAAACGACACACTACACCGCACATCTACACAGAGATCAAAGTAGAGCCACTTGGCTTGAGGGGAGGGGACCTCTGAGCAAGCCTGGAGTCCTCAGGAACTGGAACAGGAAAACACAGCTATATGGGCCGTTCTATAGATAGTCAAACAAGGAGCATGTGTTGCAGGAAGTCTGCCCTTGCCCTGGGAAGCAGCACCACTCTAGAGGTCTTGATATTTAACGACATACCACAGACCCAGGGGCTGGCTCTCCACCCCATGGGACTAGCCCCTCATCAACAGTCACTTTAACGGAAGGTGATAAAAAATGGACCCACCTTCCTCATTTCATCCAGGATGGACTTGTTCCACAGTCAGCTCACTGGGAGGACAGGGGCCTCAGCTGCGGGGCCCATCCAACTGGTCTACCCACTGCTCTCGGCACCCTGGGGCCTGGCATCAAGGGACCCAGGGCAGCTGATCACTTATTAGGAGGCTACTGGCCAACGTACAGTCAGGACAGGGTGCTGGTGGCTTGTGACAGTTCAGCAAATTCCCATCAGAGGGCTGCACCTCCCTTGGGGTCGGTATCCATACCGACAAGTATAAGTGTCAATAAAGATTCTGCTTCCCCAAGCAGCCCCTGCAAATATAGGGACACAGGGCAAATATCCTCTTCTCAGATGTCACAGGGCCATAACCACCCTGCTTGTCTCTACTAAGGACACACGACCTGCCTTTAATTCAACACACCCGTTGGCAAGTTGTCCTTTGTGATTATATCTCGGTTTGGGTTCTTTCCTGATAATACCTGAGGCAATTCTTCAAAGCTTACCTCAAGTGTGTGATCACCACCCATACATAACCATCTCCTTTTCCTGACTTTTCCCTCATTCCTAACCTTCTTGGATTTGGGGGAGGACCTGACACCCTTAAGGGGTTCCTACAAAGGCCTCATTCTTAGCCAAGTAACCACCCTCATATATGTCTTCTCAGAGTCACAGACTGAATGCAGGTGTCCAAGGAACACACTAAGGTAGCTTTTGCGAGTCTAGGGTAAAAAGCATTATGTTCAAACACATAGGAGAGAAGAAAGGAACCTTTTAACTTTCCGAGTGACTGTCTATGCATTATAAATAATTTTTTGGCCTAGATTTGAAAGAATGACATGAGCCTTCTTAGCCAAAAAAAGCTCTGCTCCTGTCCTAGTTTGCCCATTATAAATTATTTGTGAGCCGATAACACCCAGCTCATTATTACTCTGTTCTCTTCTTCAATGGGTGTAATGACAACCAACATGGCCTGGCAGAGAATACGATGAAGGCTTATATCATTAGTGATAGAAACACAAGCTTGTTTCCGTCAGCCTCCGCCTGAGACACACTATGGTGCCCACTGGAAATCGGTCACTGTCAGCTGGACCTGTGGCTCTGAGGCAAGAGAAAGAAAATGAGCCTCGAATGACCTTATTTCCGATAAGGAGGTCGTCTTGGCAGGCCCCGAGGCACCACGCAGAAAGCACTGGGACAACCAGCTGAAAGACCCTTCGTCAGCCTCTGGCTTTGACTTTTCCTTCACGTCATTATTTACATTCAGTAAATTCCAGCCATTCGAAGTGTATGGTTCAATGAATTGTGGTAATTGCGTAACCACCACCCAAACTCAGAGACCAAACCGTTCCCTCGTCCTGAAAGGTATTCTCCTGCGTCTCTATGGTTGATCTCCCCTTGATGACAGCCACAGGAAACCAGTGATCTGCTGTCACATTAGTTTTGCCATTTTTAGAATTTCATGTAAATAGAATCAGACAGCATATAGTCTTGAATGTGCAGTTAGCATTAGGTTTTTGAGATTCATCTGTGTTGTCGTACACATGAATATTCCTTTTGACGGCTGAGTAGTATTCCATGGGGTTGTTTCCAGTTCAGGGGGATGGAGAATAATGCCGATTGGAGTACTGACATCCATGTCTCTACATAGACACGGGCACACATTTCTCTTGAGTAAATACATAGGTGTGAAATTGCTGAGTCATAGTCTTAGTGTATGTTCCCTGTGATTAGATCCTGCCATGCGGTTATGCCAAGTGGCTGGACTATGTCTGCGTGTCCACCAGCAACCTAGGAGGGCTTGTGCTCCTCCAGACTTGTCAACATGTGGTATTGTCAGTCTCTTCTCACCTTGGGCATTGTGATGTTTCCTCATTGTAGTTTTAATTTGCATTTTTCTGATTTAGTTCGCATTTTCTGATGACTAATGACACTGGACACCCCTTCACATGCTTCATGTTGTTTCGTATATGTTCTTTTGTGAAATGTCTGCTCAAATCTTCAATGGGGTTGTTTGTCTTATTGAATTGAAGAGAGAGAGGATGGAGGGAGAGAAAGAAAGGAGGGTTGGAAGGGAAGAGATGTGTGTGGGTGTGTGTGTGGGTGTGCATGCACATGTGTGTGGGTGTGTTAAATACACGTCTATACAAGCCTGACCCTTTGGTTTTGAAAGCAGGGCTCAAAAAGCCCCAGGTGATCTTTTCTGGGGTCCCCAAGGGATAATGGTTCCATCGATAACATTTGTTGGGCACTTACTATGTAACGGGCACTATTTTAAATGCTTTACTTCTATTAATTACTTTCATCCTTGCAATGACCCTTGAAGATAGATACTCTAATTCCCAGTTCACAGATGAAACAGCTGAGGCACTGAGATGTTGTGTGACTCACTGAAGTCACATGACCAGGAAGTGGTGGAGCTGGCTGGCCTGTGTGCCCGCGATGTGAAGCAGTGCACTCCCCTATCTCCTCCAGCTCCCTCCAGAACCATCACGAAGCTATCTGTTATGGAGCCATGCACCAGTGCTCTGGGAGCGCAGAACTAAGAGTGACAAATTCTGGCTGCTTGAGGTTATAGCTTAAAAACTAAACATCTTCTGCAGAAAAATGGCATTGCAGGCTAATGGGATGATGGTGTTTGTGTTCAGGGAAGAATACTGCAGAAAAACACTGCAGAAAATACTAAAAACAGCCAACTGAAAGAAGCTTAGAGTCTAGAGGAAGAGAGGCAAGTCACACATCAGGGGCAACGTTTTAAGGGTTAGGTGAGAAGTTTAGACAAACTGCCAAAGGAATTCACGAGGGAAGGAGAGCAGCCATGCCAGGGGGTCAGGGAAGCATCCAGGGAAGGGGCTGACGCAAGGTGGACTGGAGGGGTGGGCAGGCAGGTGGTGGGGAGACAGCCAATGAAGAGCTGCGCTGTCAGCTTTGACAGAACAGTTGGAGATGTGGGAAAGTAAAGAGAGAGAGGGGACAAAAAGAGTGAGGCCAGCCACAGTGTCTAGAATCCAGTGTCTAGAATAGGCAATCTGGTCTCGGCTTGTGGATGAGGTCAGGACAGGGCACCGATGGGCAGTCTGGGGGAGAGAGAAAAGGTCAGGACATCAGGAGAAAGGGGAGAGGGACCCTGCTCAGGGGTAAGTGAGCAGAGACTGACAGGGAGGTGAGGGTGGCCGGGCACAGTACCACAGTGCCCTGCGTGGGTGCGGGCTGTGCTCCCTGGCTCCGTACTAACCAAACCTCCTGTGACAAGCACCAGGGAGAAAGCGGAGCTCAGAGGCAAAAAGAGCCTCACCTGAATTTCATTTATCTAAGGAAAAGTAATGCTGTTGATACATACCTTTAAAAGTCCTACTTGCAAAATGAACGTACAGTAAACTTAACCTTTTCTTTTGTGCACAGTTCTATAAATTTTCACACATGTGTAAATTCGTGTAACCAGGATCACAACCAAGAGACAGAAGAGTTCCCTCTAAAGCTCCTTCATTCTTTCCACATCTGTAACTCCAGGCAACCCCTGTCCTGTTCTCCATCACCATGCTCTCTCTTCTGGAATGTCATAGAAATACAACCATATAGCACATAATCCCTGAGCCTGGCTTC